AACAGCTGTTTTCTACATTAATAACCTTATGGAAGGTGGTCACCTGGAACGGCTTCCTGTAAAAAGCTTAGTATCCAGCTCTTAAGAAAAGCAAAAACTCCATATAAAATGACGTACAAGAAATGGCTAAGAAATTTTCTTGAGTCAAATTTCCTTAAGGCAGTACGCAGTTCTTCAGAAATTTAGTACGCTTTCTACTACGGTTTTCTAAAGTTTTTTGTGAAAAAAGAGCACAAGGCAACCCAGGTTTGCAACAGAAATATATGCCCGTTCCATTATTTCTTGAGGAAAGAGTGAGGCAACAGGCTGTGAGGTATAAAAAATGTCAAAATTCCTTGGACACACACGCGAAATAATGGCAATTTTTTCTTGACCGTTTTCTTAAGAGCTGGATACTAAGCTTAAACCTGCAAATCGGGAAGCATCTGGAACGCAACTATTGTTTCTTTTTTTAGTTTCACTGTAAGTTAAATAAAAAAGATTTCTGTGCAAAATACTGTGTCGGAGTTATATGCACAAGAAATGTTATATACCTTTTATGAAAGAGGGACTTTTGTTCGCTTCTCCGGCAACACAGAAGGAGAAGTCTACTTTGTAAGGGTTAGAATTCCTAAGCGCGACCGAAAGCCGCTTGCGCAGAAAGCGGTTCTGCTCTTCTTTTCCGGCAATACAGAAAGGAGAATTCTGCGTTGTGAGGGTTACAATCCCTAAGCACGGCCGAAGGCAGCCTACGCAGAAAGGAGGTCAGCTCCTCTTTTCCGGCAACACAGAAAGGAGAATCCTGCGTAATAAGGGTTACAATCCCTAAGCGCGGCCGAAGGCCGCCTACCCAGAAAGCAGTTCGGCTCCTCTTTTCGGCAACCCAGAAAGTAGGATCCGTGACACGAGATTTTTATATATTAGATAAAATAAATATACAAAGTTTTTTTTTTTTAATTTTGTATTTAGTTTGACATGAAAACCGATAGTTTTTCACATAATTTCCTTGCGTTTACCCATAGGTACAAATGTACCTATGCCGATCACTATCATACTATTTTTTTTGCAAACACTTCCAGATACCATTCCGTCCCCTTTATTTGACTCAAATTTCAGAAATGGGTTAAAAATACATCAATAAAGGATTACAGGAACGGTGAAGCTGTTGATTGGTCTCTTGAGCTTGCAGGCGGGCTTGAAAAATCGGCATAGGTACATTTGTACCTAATTCTTTATAGGAATTAATTGGCCAGCAAGAAGCTTAAAACGCCATATAAAATTATAAATTAATTTCAATGTCCTTTAAAAAATTAGTGATTGATTTATATGCTTTGCCATTAGTATTTTGATGAAATCTAATTATTGATGAAGTATTTTTGAGTATTGGGTATTAATCCATGCATTTGTTTTTAAGAAATTTTCACCCCTATTGCGAGTGTCGACTAGTAGTAGATAAACGCCTGTTAGTGGATTATCGATTATCCGTGGTATTTTCAAAGGGCCTGTGCCAATTGATAGAAAAGTTCTATGGTGGAAAAACTTTTTACTATGGTGAGAAAATTTTACATTTCTGCTGTGCCAATTCGTAACTTTTTACTGCTGGAAATTTTTGACAGTTGCTTTGATGCACAAGAAGACTATCGAGTTTGCTATTTATAAAATGCAGCAATTATATAGAAAATTTTTGTGATTTCAATTCTTCTGGAACTGAAATCCATGCATTTATTAGACCTTTTAGCAGTAATATTAGAAATAAAAACACGTCAAAACCGTCTGGTAAGTGTGTTCACAAAAATGTTTAAAACCGTGTACAATTGTTTCCAATAAAAACATATGTCGTTTTAGGGTATTATGTACATGCAACAAGACGTTTATTCCAAAATACTAAGCAGCATTATGAACGGCGATAACAAGACTACAAAAATGTATCTTAGGTTGTCCTCTGCTTCGTTTCGAAAAATTGTAACTCACATTCCCAAAAAGCGCCACGGATGGTCAGTGGAGTACGAAGTCATTTGCTTAATAAAGTCTTCAAATTATTTATATTGTTCTTACTCACTTCCAGCCTTCGTTGCTGTTGGCGTTCTTTGAACTGAACCAAACATCCTTGTCAATGCGCTTTTCCAGAAGGATTCTGCGTTCTGAACTGCTCCCTGTAAAATAGTATTTTTAATTAAAAAAATACATAACGCCTTTTCATATGTAAATCTGAAATTAAATCTTACAAGTTATATAGCTTTTCTTTATTTTTTTTGCCGGCGGGACCATGTTCTTTTATTTCCACTCGCTTTTGTTTTCTTTAATTTATGTGTATACGTGCGTTGTTCGTTCTTCTTCTTGATAATGCTTGCTGTCAAATTTTTCACTAGCCCTGCCGTATCAAACATTTTTATTCACCTCATAGCTGTCAAAAATTTACTATCCAGAGAACTTTTCTATCAATTGGCACAGGCCCAAAGTCGTTTTCTCGTTCAATAAGTGCGTGTTAAGTCTAGGTTCAGACGGAGAAACTTTTGTCGCGGCAGCTCGTTACTTGTGGGAGAGGGGGAGACGAGGAAGGGGGAAGGGGGAAGGGCACCGAGTTGCTCGTGCTTGGCCAACACGCTTTGTCCTCTCGTTCGTCTGAGTAATTCTAGGTGGCCGTTCACAGATGACAACAACAATTGTATACAAAACAATTTCTCTGTGTGAACGCGAAGGGCAACACCAAAAGAGAAATTGCCGAAAATGTAGTACAAAAGTTTCTCTGTGTGAACCTAGTCTAATCCCGTACTCGGTTCTCTGTCTATTGAGAGGACAAAAAAGAGAGTAAATACGGTTCTCTCTCTGTCAGAAGTTACCAGTTTTAGTCCGAGAATTTTTTGCTGGTAAATTCTGGTAAATGTGTCAAACGATCAGCTGTAGTGTGTTTGGCAACCAAATTGTAAACAAACGAAAAGTGCACTCTGCTAATTCATGTTGAAAAGTATTTAATTACTTGTTTAGGTGGATTCTAATGAATTTGAAAGTATTTTTGGTTATTTACATGTGTGAGCTTAGTGTGTTTACATACAAAATAAGCAAAAATTTACAACCAAAATTTGGAGGTTATGTTGAAGTTGACAGAAGTTACAATTTTTTACTAGAAAGCGATCCCGTACTTTTCAATGTTACTCTCTCGCTCTGAGCGAATTTTTATTTTTTGACAGTTGCTTCATTTGACCTTTAATCATGGTGTAATAATAACAAGGTGTTGTCAGTAACTTAACCTCACTTTTTCGGCAGGTCTATTCCGGTCACGCATTTTAAAGTACTAGAAAAGGTACTAATTATTTACTACTTTTAATCCGTTGGTGCATACTACTTCAAATTAAATGTAGAAAAATGTATAATTACAGGCTTATAAGCCTGAATATATGTTTGTATCGGCAGCTCCACACAGTTTGGACATATATTGTAACTTTAAAAAAGTAAAAGCCGTAAAATAAGGCAATTTCCTATTAGACTGTAAATGATATTCTAAATAGATTAAAACACATAAATATCGATAATATAAGCGAATTCCTAATTTAACCATGCAACCACTCTATTCTAGTGTATCAGTAGTTCATTTGCCTCAATATTATGACAACGCAGCAAAAGTTATTTAATATAAAAAATCGCCTTTCCATACTATTTTTGTGAAAGTTTTTCTCCATTGATAACCACGATATCTTTTATTTTTCTACTTTTTGAGTACAAAAATTATACAAATCCAGCAATTTTAAATATTAATATTGTTCTGAAAACACCAAGTTCTTTAAAAATTGCGATAAAACGAATTACTAAAATGGAGTATTTTAGATACTATTTCCCAACGAATAGTACTATAAAAATTAAGATCGGCAGCACTGAAATAACCATGCCGATCTTGTCAAAATCACAACAAACACGTCGCTACTGACAACACCGAATTTTTATTCCTTGACAGTTTTCTAGTCCGAGTCAGAGGAATACGGGATTGCACCTATTGCTTCATTTGACCTTTAATAACTTTTGTAGTTGTTGTTTCTGCCAAAAAAAAAGTATACCGTTATACTCAGCTCAATCATTTCTATCGATCCCAATTGTGGTCTTTGCACCACAGCTAATTTATTGAAATCTCAAAAAAAAAAAAATCGATCCCAATTTTTTTATTTGAGAATCGGAGCTATTCTGCATTTGTTCCCCTTTTCTGTTGGCAAGGGTACCTATGTAAAATGTCCCGTGCAGGTGAAGGGCTTGTTCGAGGCATGTAATAAAAGCGAGAATACTGCAGCAGTGATGAAAATTTACATCACCGCTGCAAGTGCCCAACTGATAAAACGTTGTTAGAAATTCACAACGAACGTGATACTTTAATGATTCGCGCAATACTGCGGTTATGATTGCAACTCGAACAAGCCCGAATATTCAGCCTTTTTCAAGCGGAAAAACGCAAGTGAAAATGTGATTTTTGGCAATTTTTCTAAAGGGTCTCTAGGGAACCATAAAGCTGAAGCACAACACCGGCGAACGGCAAATTTTTCGTCTCGAATGTTCGCCGAAATAATTAAAACACACTGATTTATATGAGAACGCGCATAATCAAAGCAAACGACGAAGTTTGCTCGACGACTGTTCGCGACGATAGATTTATTTCTATCGCCGCGGTCAACGGCAACGACAAAAAAAGGCCATGATGACCATACTTTAAAAGTTATCGTAATTTTTGTTTAAAAGTAAAATAATATACCTTATATTTTTCTATCAGAGATTAATCTAGTAAAACGTAAGTTTACTAGTAGCTATATTTAAAGACTATTTCTATATTTTAAACTTCTTGCTGGTATTTTCCCTCTTCGTTGTAAAAGCATCCTTCTTGAAACATGGTCACCTTATCAGCTGACAGCATTCGAACCGCTCGATACCGCTCTATGGGCCATGTCTCACGATCAATATTTATTGACGTGATCCAAGATTCGCGATATTTATTGACTGTGTAGCATGCAATGTTGATGGATCGTGATCCATATCGCAAAATTTCTAGAAATTTTGAAATCTGGATCGCGGATCGCAGTACTGTCAATAAATATTGAACGTGTAGCATATTTCGTTCGCGATACGTCAATACGTGTGTATTTCAAAATAAAGTGGAGATTTAAATGTTAAAGGCGAAACGTTAATTATTGGATTAATTATTTATTTGGCAGTGGTAATTTTTAATAATGTCGGACGACGAAAGCGCACATATCCAGCCGGCGGTGTTGGGATTAACGAATGACCAAAGGTGTTTGAAGGAGTTTATCCTACAATTGGAAAGTATGCCGGAATTGTGGGATCCTTCGTCCAAAAGCTACATGAATAAAATAAAAAGAACGGCCGGACATGAGAAATTATTACTAATCTTAAAAAAAATTAATGATAACGCCACTGTAGGTGATTATTGAATTATTGACACCAAGCGCTCCCGAGCTGGTACAGAAGACGTTTATATTCCAAAGCCTTGGACATTTAACGCTCTTCACTTTTTAAATAAAAATGAGAAGCCTGTTGACCTGGTAAGTAAATTTGTTTTAAAGATTTCCTTGAATTCTACTCATACTCTAGTGAATACCTAGCTATAAAGGTGGAAAGAAAAGAAAGTAGTATGTAGATTGTCTGTTGTTTTAAGTGAAAACTTTTATTATTCTTTTTTTTCATATACATAAGTGATAAAAATTGAGTGGCAAAAGTTAGCATCTATATTCGTCATTGTAATATTTGCAAAATTTGTCTCTTATAGTTTTGGCACATCTTGTTGAATTTCGCGCCGAACTGCTTTGTACGGTGGTTAATTGAAAATTATACTCATTGGAATTTGGTGCCTGATAATTAGAATCTTTTCTCATTAAATAATTGTGCAGATAACAACAAGCTGCTGTCACTTTTGCGGCTTTCTGCGGGCTGAGACTTATGGCTTTCTGGAAAACTCCAAATTTATTGGCGAGGATACCAAACGCACACTCAATGACACATCTAGCCTTCGATAACCGTTTATTAAACAATTGCTCTTCTTGTGATACTCTTTTTTAAGGATAAGGCTTCATAAAGTTAGGGCCTAGCGCGAAAGCTTCGTCTCCTATAAAAACATATGGGAATGATTCCGAGGTGTTTGGCAATGGTGTCCATTCCGGTATATTTAAACGATTTTGTTGCAAACGCTCCCAGAATTTAGTGTAAAACAAGACACCACCATCAGACACGCGTCCATTGCATCCAATATCAACCATGACAAATTCCTTTTTAGCATTCGCAATAGCCATAAGAACGATACTGTATGTTGCTTTATAGTTATAATATAGCGCTCCCGAACCATTTGGACGCTTTATTTTTACGTGTTTCCCGTCAACTGCGACAATGCAGTTATAAAAATTGTGTAATACACGAAATTCATCAGAAACACTTCTCCACTCTTCCGCTGTACTAGGCATCTAAAAAAAGAAATTTGAAATCCATTTTATAAATAAAATATAAAATTAACTCTCAGTTTCACCAATCAATTTTAAAATTTATCAGACCGTTAAAATTTAAAATGACAAATTTTCCGAACTACATTTTATCATTTTAAATTTTAACAGGCTGATAATTTTAAAATTGATTGGTGCAAACGGGCATAAATGTAAAGAATTAAAATCAATTTTATTAATTAACAATAATTTTCTTTCTTTCAGAACCAGGTAGAATCGCAAAATGTGGACGAATTGGTGCAAGTTGAGGAGCAGACAAATAGAGAGGACTTATCTAACACTTCCTTTTCATCTATTAGCGAGTTGGCTCCTCCTCGGAAAAACCAAACAAAATGTGCAGTGGGTAAACAAAACGAGCTAATTGAAAAGGCATGTTCCCTATTGTCTGCACCCCAAAGTTCTACAAACATAAACGCAACGGCATTATACTGGAGTGAAAAATTAGAGCATCTAAATCCAACGCAGCGTATGCTAGCTGAAAA